ATGCAATTTTTCTTCCCTCTCCTAAGAGCTTACACTTTGCCATCTGGTGTTACCTCCCAAGAACAGTTCACTTATGTCTTAGAAAAATAAATACTCAGCCAATTTACAGATTATACCTTCCTTAGTTCTGCTATGAATTATATGACTTGTTTTTGGCAAGGCCTGAAGTTAAATCTGGCTTCTTCCCCACCCTCCCCCCACATCAACTCAGTGAATGAGTGGCATTGACCGAGTTGTGTCCGAGAACAGGTTGGCCACCTCAACAGAGCAGCTACATTTATAGGAAGAATTGCAACTTTCTAAGTTGCTCCAAGCATCAAAGCCAAGGTGAGGAGCCTGTGGGCCAGTAGAATTTTTTTATTCCGCTATTGAACCTGGGCCAGCCCTTCATCTATTGTTATTTATGAAATTTGTGAATCTGTAGGAAACCCATTGTGGTCATCTTAGTAGCATTAAAGTTCAAAGCTTTCTTGATATATTCCCATATGGTTTGAAAATAGCATAATGTATACTGGCAAAAACCGATTAAAGAGGAAGTAAGAAAACACAACACCAAAAAACAGAAAGTCTGAGTTCTAGGGTCAACTGTGACATTTAACAGCAAGGTGATCTAGGGCTGGTTGCTTTATATCTCTGGTTCTTAGATTCCTTAAATTAAGGATTTGGTTTATGTGGGTTACTAAGTGCTGAAGTACCATGTTCTTGCTTAAGTATTCCATCTGTATCCTTTAAGATATAGTCCCCTGGGGCTTTGGAAATATTGACTGGAATTGAATAAGTCTCAGGTCGAATCTTGCAATCTTATCATTGCAAATCTTTTTGGAGTTTTCAGTCTTGCTTAGGATTTGCTCCATAACTATTCTTTTTCAATCTAGATTACGTTGTTGACTGTAGACTTATTTTGACCATCAAGGATGCTCAATTAATTTTATTTTGGGTGCTTTTATAAATTCAAGGTTTTAGTTAATGGTAAAGAGTTCAAAGTTTGGGCATTCATGATTCTAATAATTCATTGAATAAAACTTATGTTTCGTGCGTATTCTGAAGACTTGGGAACCCCTTAGTCAAGGAACTTAGTGCTTATTGCATTTTTAGTTGGTCTGCTATACAAGGTTTGTTGATTCTCTTTTAAAATTAATTTTATTGTACATTTTCGATATGCACAATGATCACATTCATCTTAGGGAATTTGTAGCTGTGCACGATATAACTTGATTCCTCCTTTTCCCTCCTTTCCTCTACCCTCCCTTCAACTCCACTTCTCTCCTTATTTACAAAAGTTTTATTGGCATTTTGTTCTAGTCTTTTTTCTTTTCCCTTCCTTCCTTCCCCTCCTCGTTGCACTGTTCTCCTTCTCATTTGAACATTTTCTTCCCATTTCACAGTGTCCTTTATACATTTTGGTTCTTATTTATCCTTTTGGTTTCTCACACCAGTGCAACAATGAGACATTTAATCATGTATGTCCAATTTATTTTTCTTTAGAGTGTGATCTCAAGGTGTGTCCATTTACATTGAGTCTTTATGATTTGGGGAGTGAAGTCAAACAGGCTTTCCTGGTATTTCATAAATGATGCATTTTGAAAAATCTTGTTTGCTAGGAAATTGATTGTGATTTTACATAATTCCTCATTCATTCATCATTTGTCGAATGCTTATTACCTACCAGATGCTGTGAAGGAACTAAAGTTACTAACACACATTTAAGTAGCTAAGGCAGAAGAGGGATCTTTCTAAAGCAGAGACAGCATATTGTGAACTAATTTTTAAGGCTGATTCAGTAACATACAATCCCACTTGTCACCTCTAACTTCCCTGTTTCTCATACCCACTTATACTTGAAATTTTTCATATTGAAATATAACTCATATAACATACAATTTACTATTTTAAAGCATATATTTTAGTGGTTTTTAGTTTACTCACTAAATTAATTTTGTTTATGCAGTCATTTACCACTAACTAACTGTAAAACATTTCCACCACCCTGGGAAGAAAATCCATATACACTAACAATTGTTTCTGATCCTTGTCCTCTTATTCCTGTCTTGACATCACTAATCTACTTTCTGGGTCTGTGAATTTATCTCTGCTGGACATTTCTTCATACTTTTCACAGATAATGTACAATATGTTATGACTGTCCTTTTGCACTTCACATATTGCTTTCAATATTCATCTGCATTGTAACAAGTAGTAGTATTCACTCTTTTTTGTTGCCAAATAATATTCCATTGTATGGGTATAAATTTGTTTACCCATTCATCCGTTGCTGGACATTTGGGTTGGGTCTATTTTTTGCTGCCATTTATAATAGTGCTATGAACATTTGTGTACAAGTTTTTGTGTGAACATATGCTTTCAGTTCTTTTGGGTATATGCCTAGGATTACAACTGCTAAGTTATTTAAGTCTGTGTTTAACTTTTTGAGGAACTGCCAAACTGTTTTTCCAAAGTTGCTGTACCATTCTGTGTTCCATTTTTAAAAAGCATTTGTAACATCCAAAGTTATCTGTAACTTCCCTAGCATTTAGGTTAGTAATCTTCCCAGGTTATTGATGAAAGCACATAAGCAGTAGGTTGAGAAATGCTCTCCCAGGGTCAGATCCTATGTTTAATCATTTATCCAGCATTCTCTGAGCCCCTTGTTCTGTCCTCAGCATCGTTACTAGCTCTGTGGGTGCCCGATTTGGGTCTGTGCAGCTTCTTTTGGAATCTGTAAAAATGAGGAACAACCCCAGATGGGCGACTTGATTTAGGTGGGATTTTCTCAGAATCAAAAGTTATACTAAATCAAATATTTGTACTATTCACATCCTGGATGATGATCCTTAAGTGTAGATCCAATTTCCTGTTTTCCATAATAGATTTTTGATTCACGTTTTATTTTCTTGGTGGAGAAAATAATGTGTGAGTTTTTGGCATTTGCTACTTTTCCTAAACAATACTTTATGGTGAAATCATCTAGTCCTACAAATTTGGGAATCAGCTAGTTATATAAGCCAAGAAAGAACCACAGCCCCGAGCACGGTAGAGCTCTTCACCTGTTCCGGAGCCGCTGCTGTGTGACTGTGTCTCGCTGAGCAGTCCTGTGAGCGAGCCCAGCCAGGCCTCTCTGTGTCCATTCCATCCATGACAGCTGAGCTTCTGAGAAGTAGAGCGATTTGTCCCTGGTCACGCAGATGAACCAGAAAGGCACTCTTAGCTGAAGCAGTCATTCCCAAATCCTGTTCCCTGGACCGGTGCTAATGTGGAACAGGGTTTCCACTGATGTGAGAGGAGATGAGAAAAGTAGGGCAGGGAGTGAGGTTTTTCCGTTCTAAGAACTATCTTTTATCGCAAAATTAAGTCTCTCTGATTTTTATGTTGGTAAACGTCATCTTGCTTTTTCAAGATGTGGTGATAGTGGATAGTAACTTTTCCAACTTTCAATTTTTCATTTGGCAAAACAAAATACTGTCAACCTTAATTTTTAAAAGGTGATTTCTCTTTTAACTTAGTCATTGCATTTGCTTCAGAAGAGTCAACTTGGTCCAAACTCTCCTGGGTAATTATGCCGCTCTTTCCTCCTACAGACCCTGTCATTGATAAGCAGAAATCACGTTCTCTTACAGCCATGGTCCATGTCACATGTAGCAATGATGTACAGGATCCTGGTTCTTGGCTAACTTTCTTGGCTACTGTATTTCACACAGTCAGAGGATAGTGGGAAAGCATGTAGACATGCAGGCAGAATGACTTACAAGTCCTTCATTTTCTAATTGTGAGTAAATATGCCTGGCTGTTTAGTTTGTTAATTATTTTTGTGGCTGGGGATTGAATAGGACAGTTCTAGCAAAGTGCAGTTAGCTTTTACTTGAGAAGGCATAGCAAGCATTTATTTTATGCCTGGCTTTCTCTCCCTGATAGTAAAAAAGGCTTGACCCAGATAGGTTAATTAACTTGCCCACATCATTTACCAATGAGAGAAACTAAGAAGTGGAAAAGCGTCTCCTAAATGTTACTTATCAACTTCAAAATGTAATGGTGTAAGCAACCTGCGAATTACCAATGGAAAACTTCACCAGACTCTTGAGAAACATCAAGCAAAGGATGTAGTGGGGTGAGAGCATTCTCCAGCCCTCCTGGCAATTCTGTAGGTTTGGGGTAGGGGAGGGTGGCCGAGTGGCAGGTTATCCCAAAGGGCATTCATTCATAAGTGTTTGCTAGCAGGGAGTGAGATGCTCAAATCAGTCTGAAAAACGGGCAAGTTAAAGCTCCATGTAGGACTTTGGATTTAATTTATTTTGATGAATTTTAAATATACCAGAAAGGTAAGGGTACAAGAGTCCTTAATCTTCTGGAGCCCAGAATTCTTCTTTTGTTTATTTATTTTTTGGTACTGGGGATCGAACTCATGACCTCACGGTTGCCCAGCAGGCGCTTGTACGGCTGGGCTAAATCCCCAGTCCCCAGAATTCTTCTTGTCTCCCCAGTTTTGCCCTCTCCCTTTTCAGGCACCCTCAGATCTAGTCTTTTACAGCAAGTTCTGCCTCAAGTATGTTCTAATTCATAATATTCCTGTAGGTGATAGTATTTTCATTCTCCCATTTATAGATAAAGAACTCAAGGCAGAGAGAGAGGTGAAGCAACTTCTCAAGGTCACGTAGTAATGGCCTGTAATAGACCAGAGCGTCCGGCATCAGAGGTGGTCTGTGAATTGCTGACAAATGCTCTCTTATTATTAAGCTGCTTTCTTGCCTGTTATCTTCAATTTTCCTAAGTACTGTATATTTCCTCATGTAAATAAAGCTAATAATCTAAACTAGAAGGTTTGCTGCAAGTTTCCAGCGTACTTGGTGAGCAGTTAAATCTGTGGTAGGTAAGTGGAAAAACCCTGGCTTTTGGAAGGAAATGGGTCAGTCAGTGCCCACCGATTTTCACAGCCACCCCAGGCAGGGTGAACTTAACTAAGTAGTTAACTCCTAGAGCCTTCAGCCTATTTACTCGAACATTAGATAGAATAATTCCACAGTCTGTCGCACACAGGAACTACCCTGAGAGTGCACATGGCAGCCCAGGAAGAGGACAGGTTATGACTGGCCCTTGTGCTCCATGTGTTTACTGTCCTCCCCTGCTCCCTCCGTCCTGCTCACACACCCAGGGACAAAGGTTTCTGCAAATGGACTGCACCATAAGCAGCCTTCACCTGCAACTGCCTGCAGGACAAAGCTCAGGGGAAACCTCCAGAGAAGCAGTGTGGCCTAGAAGAACAAATTCAGAAGGGAAGCAGTAGTCAAATGTAGTGTTCTCCTAAAAATCTGCAAATGCCACTGAGCCAAGAGAGTGAGCTGAAAGAACCCTGAATTGTCCTCAGTGGGAGACTGTTGGGAAGGTAAGGGAAAAGGGGGACAAAAGTGCGGATACTGAAGACAAATCTCATTTCTTGCATGCTGTTGATTGAAGAAGTGGGAGAACTGTGGGCTGGAGGGAGGATCCCTTCTGTAGTGTGATCAGGTCACCTGAGTTGTACACACCTACAGTCCCCCTGCCGAGCCTGGGTTCTCTTCAGCAGATGTAAGGAGACACCTTTGTTTCCCCAGATTTAAGGAGACACCTTTGTTCTCCATTTTTGCTTCAAAAAGTGAATATAAAGTGTAATTCCCCCATCACTCAAATATTAATCATCGCGAGGAGAGATGGCCTCATATACTCACCATTTCCCTAGTGCTAAAGGGAATATGTTTAGTAATGATTAAATAGCAAAGAGAATGAAAAGCCTAGCATTTAAAAAGTTTTTTAATTTGAAAGATGAGGCCATAATGTTAAAAAAAATGATTTTGAAAATAAGGTAGAAAGCCATAATTCTGTCAACTTAAATTTATTTTAGTTTTATATGTTAGATTTTAGTGTTTTCCTTCATATATGGATATCTTTACATGGTTTCAAATATTGCATATACACTACTAGGTATATCATGGGCCTGTAAATTTGCACTACATTTTTTGTAACTGTTATTTTTATGGCTTATGTAGAAAAGGACAGTTAGGTCCCTTTTAGGAAAAGAGAGAGAGAGAGAGAGTGATCTTAAGGCGTAATTGGAATGATGTGACATCATTTGCTAAATTATAACTCTATTAGTGATTATTAACAGTTGCATGCAATTGTAGATAATCCTGGACAGCAGCCATGAAGTGTTTATAGGTATTAGAGACAGAAGTTCAACTGTAGTATCTTAAACACAATTATATATATATTTTTAAAAGCCAAAGGTAGCTTGTTCTGGGCCAGTCTGGTCTTGTGAGAAGACATTAGTGGTATAGGCTTCTTTTGTTTTCCTGATTTACCATTCTAGTTGCATCATGTCCAAGTTCAAAGTCACAAGATGGCTTCTTACACTCTAGATATAATGCATGAATTCCAGGGAAGAAATGGGGAAGGCAAAAGGTGACCTTTCTCCACCTCCACTCCTAATTACCCTTTGTGAGGACCCTCCCCAGAAGTCCTGTGTCAAAGCAGCTCATTAATTAAATGGCTTTGGGAAAAGTTACAAGTATTCTCTGAGGCTCAGTTTCTTCATCTATAAATGGACAGCGACACTTCCTACCTCATAGGATATATGGGAAGTTCTCCTGAAAATCCAAAAATGCTCAATAAATCCAAGGGTTATAGTAGCCCTGGCAGCCTGTGCAGGTTGCAATAGCTAAAATATTGTGCATCTGTGTTCTTGCTGCGGAAACACAGATTATAATCATTGGCAGTCATCTCCTTCCCCTCTATCACAGGACACGTGGGTCGGAGAGAAAGCAGAACTACACCATGTTCAGTTATTGTCAGAGGGAAGTTGGAGAACTGTGCGATTCCAGGCAGAGGTAGAAATGATCAAACCCCACATCTTCCTGTTTCTGTCTTTGCTCTCTGGGAGTGGAGTGTAGAAATGCACCACTCCTAAGGTCAGAGGCAGGGAAACCCAGAGGCAGCAGCTCCCCAAGAACCTACAAGCCGCCAAGCCAAATGGGTGAACTCCCTGTAGAGTGGCCTTGTTCTCAATGACAAAAGCTGTGAGCTATTTGAAGATAGGGACTGCATCTATACATACCTGTCCATTCCAGTCACTGACATCTGGAAGCCCCTTAGGAAAACCATGCTTATTAATTTTGGAGACTGAGAATGGGTCATGTATGATACTTATTTAAGCTATTATGACATTCAGTCTGCCATTTTTGACTACAGCTAAGAATGAGCACTTTGGATTGATGCATATTTTGAATAAAAGTAAGTATATTAATACTTCTAGCAAACACTGAACATTTATTATGCACAGGGTGCCTGTATTTCATGTGTTCAACTCATTTAATCTTTCCCATTACTAACAACAGATGTTATGCTCACTTTAGAGAAACAGAAGCTCAGAGAGCCCAAGCAATTTGCCTAAGGTCCCAAAGCATATGAAAAAGAAATCAGCTCAAAATGAATAAATATGCACATATATATTCCTGAAAAAAAATCATGGTTAAATTCCTAAAGTTGCTTGAAGGCATTTAAGGACATTTATTTTACCTAATTTGTTTAGATGGCCCATTTTAGATAAATAGCTTAGTTTCTTTAAACTTCAATTTTCTTACCCAAAGAATAGGAAAATAAACTACCCACTTCATAAAGTATCTAGGAGGATTCAGCGACATAGTATGTTCAAAATGCCTAGCATACAGTGCATGCTCAGCATATTTTAGCCATCATTTGTTAATTTGAGAAGTAGTTCTTAATTAGTGATACACATGAGAATCGTCAGTGGAAATTTTTCACAATATCGAAGTTTTGGGACCTATGTAGGGTATTTTTAAAAAGTTCCCCAAGTGATTCTGATTCATATTCCCGTATGAGAATCAGTGCTGAGTATGATCCATATTCATTAAAGAAGTAGTTTGTTTAAGACATTGTGTTATGTGCTAAGAGGAATGAAAAATGTACATTAATAATAATTGTCACATGAAAATAAGTCTGAGCAGAATGCAACTGGCCAGGCTAGGCAGGGCTTGAAGCCGGGGGTGGGGGGTGGGGGGCAGGGGAGTGCGGTGGGGTGGGGGGGGTGGGGGTGTGTGTTAGCTAGTTAAGGGTAGCAGCGAGGTAGCACAGAAGTGCAGTGAATGTCGGTGAGGACACTGGCTGGGGAGAGTTTCTGGGGAGAGTTGTCAGAGGAGGCTAGATGGTTGCTTGGAGGCAAAAAATGGAGAGGGCCTTGGAGTCCTGACCCATCCAGTCTGTTCTGAATTTGCAGAATGTTGACAAGCCAGTGAAGTTTCTCAAACCAGAGTTAAATGCTCAGAACTGCTCCTTCACTGAGCAAATCTGGCCTTCTAATATACTAGAAAGTGAAGAACTCAACAACAAAGAGCCATAGACAGTTGGCACATTTCTTTGACCCAGCCTCAGAATGCAAGCCGGGGTCAGCCAGGTGGCCAGGACAAAGGAAGAATGATCTAAATCTGAGAGGGTGGGGGAGGGGTGTCCAGAGGAAGAAGAAGTGAAGATGACTTTGAGATTTGAGCTGAGTGATGGGCCCAGCGGTGCTGGGACCAGAAAAGGGGAAGTAAGTGGGGGAGGGCAGATGAGAAGTTGATTGCATTCAGTGTGAGATGCCTGGGGACTAGGGGCATACATCTAGGGGTTAAGTGGGGAGAGTAGCTTACAGACACACACACACACACACACACACACACACACACACGCACACACCTCATAAAGTGAGTCCACAGCATGGAGGAATGGTGCCTGCAACCCTGGCAGGGGATAAGCTCTCTGGGAAGCAAGGAAAAGCATGGGATTTTAACCATGGGTCTGTGAATGAACTTTTTGGTTGGGGTGTATCAGTGAACTCTTTAACCTTTTAAGCAGAATGTTATGTGTATTGAAAATTCCACAGTCTCACTGGGTCATTTATCCTAAATAAGTTTGAAAATCACTACTATATATAGAAAGAAGAGGGCTGAGATGATGCTCTTGCACTTTTTATACAGTGGGTACTCAACAAAAAATACTCCAGCCAATCTCTGCCTTCCTGACTGTCATGCATCAGCCTACAGTGGTTGCTATCTCGCTGTCTTTACTGTGGCAAGACTGTTGAATAAAGGTTGCCTGGAAAATGCTTTTCCTGCTAAGGCAATTCAGCCAGGGAAAACAGTCTTTTCACCAATGAGGCTGAGACAGCTGGAAATCTAAATGCAAAATAACGAATATGGGCTCCCTATCTCACCCTGTGTACAAAAATTGGCCACACATCTAGAAGAACTAAAACAGTATAACTCTCAGAAGAAAACATCATTAAATATTAATCTTTGTGCCGTGGGTTGAGCAATGATATCTTAGATATGGAGCCTCAGGCAAATGCAATGAAAAGATAAATCATCTCATCCAAATTCAATTTTTGTGTTTCAGGGATGCTATTGGGAGAGTGAAAAGATAATCCATATAATGAAAAAAAACTCCAAAAAATTTATCTGATAAGGACCTGGTGTTCAAAATGTCGAGAACTCTTATAATACAGAATGAGAGTCAGCCTAGTTAAAAGTAAGCACAGGATTTAAGAAAATATCTCTCAAAATAAAATACATAAATGGATAATAAACACATGAAAAAATCTTCAATATCATTAGCCATCAGGGAAATGCAAATGAAAACCACAACGACACTACTTCATACCTATTAGAGTGGTAATCATTATTGCTATCATTATTGATTACATATGTTGACAAGAAAGGAAGAGAAATTAGATACATTTTACAGGTGGGGATATAAAGTAGTGCAGTCACTTTGGAAAAATTTGGTGGTTCCTTATAAAGCTAAATATAGAACTATCATACGACCCAGCAAGTCTGCTTGTAGGTATTTACCCCAAAGAATTGAATCCACATGCTCACACAAATATTTTTAGCAGCATCATTCATAATAGTAAAAAAATTTAGAAACAATCCAAACCTCCACTAATTAATGTGTGAATGAATGAAATGTGCAATGTCATACAGTGAAATGTTCTTCAGCCATATAAGAATGACACATGTGACAACACGGATGAATCCTGAAATCATTATGTCAAGTGAAAGTCACAAGAAACATATTGCATAATTCCACTTAAATATGTAGAATAGGCAAATCCATGAGAAGAAAAGTAAATTAGTAGTTGTTGAGGTGGTGAAAACATTCTGGAATTAGAGAATGGTGATAGCTTCCTGATTTTGTGTGTATAATTTATGGTATATGAATTTTTATCTCAATAAATTTGTTTTCTTTTATCTTTGGCTTCTACTTGTACTCAAGTGGGATGGAAATAATGTCCATTTTCCAAGATGAAGGAAGAACATGGAGAAAATCACAGATACAGGTACAGACAGACGATGGCAAATGGTAGACTTCACCGACTGTATGCATAAGGGAATCAGGAGATAAAGCTGGAAAGGGTAATTTGGGCTCAGAACCAGTCACGTGGTCAGTCACTGAATGAATCACAAATATCTGAGGCCATATCTAATGCCAGCACGATTCTCAGTGATTGACTAACAAGGCCAGATTTCCACCAACACAGGGCTCACAGTGGTGATATTAGATGAATGTTTAATTCAAATCAGTCAAGTAGTTATCAGAATCGAAGGGCTGGAAGTTCAGTGTGCTACAGCAACACATCATGGCCATGCTCCTTGGTGTGAGAGAACCCAGGAGTGTTTTCCAGAGGAAGGAAGCTTCTAGCTGTTAAAGTTCTAAGCTCCAGGCCACGGGATTTTGACTGAATATGCAGGCACCGGTCTAGGCAGTGGGAGCAATGCCATAGAAAACTTTGGCTGGGGCTGGTTCTCACCTCACCCTCTTAGCCTCTTTAGGGTCCCTGACTATCTGAACAGACGGGTTGCCAGCAAAGCTGCAGCAAAATGAATATTCCCTCAATCACAGTTCATGGCCTGTGTTAGAGATCTTGCCTGTTACGCTTCTTCCTTCCAGATGCTGTGGGGAGAAAAGTCTGCTGTGATAAGATGATGGACCAGCACCACACCCTCTCTTCTTGTTGCCCAAAGCAATAACCAAGGACCCTTTCTGGCACTTTCATTTTTATTTTGTAAGCAAGTATAAAGTCATTTTACAGTTCCATGTTTCAGGGTCACTTCTTTATTTTTAGGTTGTTGTGATGGGAGCTGTCAAAATGAACTAAATCATGACATTCAGGTCCTTTAAGTGTGTGTGTGTGTTTGTGTGTGTATATGTGTGTGTTTACCTGTGTCAGAAGGAGGTGAAGAACAGAGCACTGAGAATAACAGTGTTAAATGTATGTACAGTACAGAATATTTATCTAATATATATCACGCAATATTTAATATATATGTATATTTGACATTATTTTATGTTAGATAACTAATGTGATATATCATGTATGTCTTGTTTACTTTTCTCTCTTTGTTGAGACAAAAAACCTGATGCCCAAAATGAAGCAAGGGAAGGTGTATTTCTTACAGTGCTTGGGGATTTCAGTCCATATTCAGCTGGCTCCAAGGGAGGGTGGTGGCACGGGGCAGCCATTCATGGCCACCACAGACAGCAAGAGTGAACAGAGCAAAAGAGGGAAAACACTCCTTCTTCCCACCGTACACTGTATGCTGGCTCCACCCCTGGGCAGGTGCAGCACTCACCCCGCCAGTCCCACCGCTAGACAATGAACCAGTCCCAAATGCTAGATTCAGCCACATCCATGAGTGCAAGAAGCTTGTGGGGGGGGGGGGAACACCTAGATACAAACCATAACAATGTGTTGCACAAATATTAATTTATATTCTCTTAACAATGTTGTCCTTTTCTTCCTTCCCTAACATATAGTTACTTTGCCCCTTCCCTAAGCCCTGGCCACAATGTGACTTGTGCAGATGCCGATGCTGACAGACAGCAGAACAGCAGCCTTGAACCACCATGGCATCAGCCTTTGTGTAAAGACTCACACAAAATGTGGTCCAAGTCTTAGTTCTGATGGCCCAGGGTGAAGTGAACATTGCTTATTCTAACCCAGGGCATGGTATCCTGGAATGTAGTCTTTGAATTCTTGGCACATGGTCCACTTGACTTACCCACTAGCCACTTGTATAGCAAGACTTTGATCCTTCCCTCAGGCTTGATGTGTCTCAAGCATAGGTGTAAGAACCTGCCTGGGAGCTTATGAAAATTCTTCTCCATCCTGGAGCTTCTGACTTACACATAGAACCTTGAAATCTGCATTTGAAAGAGGATGGATGCTGCTACTATAAGGGCTCCACTTTAGGAACTGTCCTAGTTCCATGGCACCAGGCAGGGTTTGCCTAATTCAAACCTCTTGGAGTCTGGTCAAAGCCTGTGTGACATTAGGCAAGTTATTTCACCAGTCTGAACTTTGATTTCCTCATTTTCAAAAGGAGATAATACTCAAATATATTGCTGTCTCAGATTTACATTTAAGGTTCCGTCACTGTCCAATCTCATTAGTCTGAGTCATTTAAAGACTACAGGCCTATTAGTAGGGAGAGGGAAGTTGGAGGGCAAAGGCAAACTAAAACTTTCCAAGCTTCTGAAATTCCACCCCCAAGGAGGAGGACAAGATAAACCCAAACCGCAAAACGCCATTACTGAAGGCAGACTGTGTACTGCTCCTGCCTGAGTTAAGAAGATGCTGTCCAGACCCAGCTCCACTCAACACTTTCCTTACAACACAGACTGTCCTTGGGCTTCCTGGCTGTGCTTCGTGCTTTCTGAAATACAGTTCAGTGAGGTTTGTGAAGGGCTGGCCAGGTGTCTTGCTGTAGGGGAGGTTCTGCGTGTGTGGAGGAGGTGAGAGGGAGACATAATGACACACAGGACTGGACTAGATGAGCCGGAGCTAGTGAGAGCCACAGGTCCGGACAAGCCAATAACACTGCCAAGCCCCAATTACTGGGGGAGCTGAACTGAGGGGTGAGGCGAATTCCAACAGATGGGAAAGAATGCCAGTGGGCAAGAATCCCTAGAGCCAACATTAGACTGTAGGTGCCTTAAAGAGAAGGAATGCTTTTCTCTCTTTTGCATCCTGGAGGCCCTGTCTCCCAAAAGAGTCAGGCCCTGTAGCTCACTGATGAGTTCAGCTGATGAACTGAGCAGTCCTGTGGCCCTTTGCTTCTTGATGCTGGCTGCATACTGAACTCTGAAGTTCCCTTTTTTACACCAAACAAGGCCTCTAGAATGTATTCGGTAGGAGAGTTCTCACTAATAAGTCATACCTTTGCAAGGATCTTAGTGAAAATAACAAACATTACCCCTTTTTTGCTTTTGCTTTCCTAACATTGTTTTGCACACCAATTTTTTTAACTTCTTAGAAGCCATTTCTTGGTCAAGTGTGTCCCTTGGAGAGCTGGCATCTGGCCTATATCCCGGGCTACTGGTGTTCCTCCTTCCCTGGGATTGTCTCTCTTTCAAGAAAGGCAACCAAACCAGTTGGTTTAAATGCAGGACTTTGAAAAGTAGAAGCTTTGGGATGCAGAATGGAGGTGCTCCCTGGTTGATGGTAATTGGGACGGAAGCGAGGTCTTCTATCTGGGCTGCCCTATTGAATCTTTCTGTTAAAAAAACAAAACAAACGAAACGAAAGTGAAGTGGTTGTTTGCTAAAGAAGGCTTTGTTCAGTGGGAAAAAGTGCTTCTACCTTAGAACCGGAAAAACGTCAGCACTGGGAGGAGACAGCTGGGCGCTCGGCTTCTCTCGGAGCCACCTGGTGGATGTGCGCTGTAAGCACCGCTCCCGGAGCCTCCCCCGGTGCTGAACTCGCTCAGCCTTTCCCTTCCTGGAGAAATGGGCTCCACTTCCCCAGCCAGGGGAGAGACCCCTACCCAGGGCAGCGTGCCAGAGGGCTAGCTCACTGCGGCTTCCTGTTTGTCCTCCTCTCCAGTGCCATCCCGTGGGCCCTTCTGATCTCCCCAGGCCTTCACATTTCTTCTCTTTAGCCTGGCACACCTTTTCCAGCATCTTCTCAAGGCTGGCTCCTCTCATTGCTCCAAGGGGACTCAAAAACACCTCCTCAGAGAGGCCCACCTTGAATATTCTCTGTAAGGCAGTCCTATGACTGAAAATCACAACAGGTCAACTTCTTTGGATTAAGAAACACTTAGTAGATGAGCACAACATGCTTCTAGGAATGTCTGGGTGGCTCATGGAGGCCTGGCCTTGGGGACTATCCCTTGTCCAGTTCTTTTCTGGTGTTGTTCCCCTGTCCTGCTGCCTGGTTGCGTGAACTAAGCAGTTTTGCTCCGCTGTGCCCCTCACCATGCTAGTGCTGCCTGAGAAACAGCTGACTGTAGACTGAACTCCCATCTAAGACTCAAAATAAAACTTTCCTCCTTGCAGTTATATCAGATATTGTGTCCAGCTATGGGAAAAGTCACTAATATAAGTCCCAATATTAACAGTCTTTGCTTTGCTTTAGTCGTAGGACATGTACAATCTAAAAAAATCTCATGCATTCAGTCCTTTTTGCCAGTGTCAAGTCCAGGAGAGCAATCCCCTGTTGTTTCATTTCTATGTCTCTGTCATCTCCGAGAGTGGCTGCTTCTAAGTAAGTGCATGTGGAAACCTGAATGAAACTGAAGACATGGAAAGGTGGAGCTGTAAGGCCCAGGTGGTCTGTCTGATGTTGTGCTGACCTCCACATTTGTGGTTCCTTCCTAGTAACAATCTCTGCAAGGGTCCGTTTACGTGCCAGCATCCATTTGTCTCTGGGGCTGTAGACTAGTTGCAATGAATAACTCTTCTTGGTTCAGATTTTCCTAATGTACATCTGCATGCTCTTTAATGGCCTTAACAGGGACTTTGCTTACAGGTCAAGTCATTTTTCATCTTTCAGGTGCCACAATTCTCAAACGTTTCTAAATGTTTTCTATAAGAGCAATGACCACCAAGAGAAGTCCATATCTCTTTAGGTCAAACTCTCATGATCAGCCTCCCTCCCCACAGGGAGTCTCGGGGTACATATCCACACTGCTTTGCAGTCATCTGCTGCCCTTTCTCCTGATGGTGATCTATGGTCACTGGCCCAGTGGCCAACGTGATCTGCTCAGATTCTTCTGGGAGGGGCCCTCAGATTCCATCAGGTACCAGCTTATCATTCGATAGACTTCTTCTGCCCCTGAACCCATACCTGGACAAATACTCTCCCTCAGGGGTGTGTGTGTGTGTGTTTGTGCATACGTGGAGTCTTCTTTTCCACTGACTTTCAGAAAAGATGGGCTTGAATTACCAATTTGATATAATGTGAATATCCAAAGATTTCCCCATATTCTTTGAGTTTTACTTTCTTGTAATTCCCCCTGGCTGCTAACTCCTACTGTTTTATTTTGTGGCTTTATTCTTTCTGTTGTTCTGGTCCATACCTGAAACTGACCCTCTTTCTACCAACATAAACAAGCAGAAGCGCCACTCATTCATGGGAGAAGACTTTATAGTAGTTTTGAGAGGGAGACGGGGGAGGGGTTATTTTGACAGTACAAAACCCAAAATTGGAAACGAATATCCAGGTTCTGACCTCCTGTGGTGGGATTTTCCAGTGGCCACTGAACCCTCCGTAGGTTTCCAACCCATTCCAGTTTGCTGTTGCATCTCTTTATCTCTTTTTCTTGTCCCATCCTTTCTGGATTTTCTTCACAAATTTCCATTTTTCTTATTAGTTACACAGAACAATCCAACTGTTCCCTGCCTCTCCTGCACTTCGCTGTGAGCCCAGTTTACATAACTAAACTCATTAGTGTTCTCAGAAGAACCAAAGGCCTTCATATTCATTAAGAACTACTCTCCTTAGAATGCAGTTATGAGATCCTCTGTGTCACCCAGTTCTCGGGGTGGCTTTTTAAGGGCTGCTTCTGATCGATTGCCTGCTCCCTATGGTAAGTGGCTTGGGAATGTAGATGCATTGCTCAAGTCCAAGGTTTTTAGCATAGCTTTACCTCCCTAGGACAGCACAGGGTCTCTGAAACCTGTTTGTCTTTTTACTGGGCTCTCTTTCCATTTTGGGTGTACTAGCAATCTTCATGAGTTTTTCTCCACATGAAACAATTAAAAAAGAAAGAAAAGAAATGATCTTTCTTCCTTTTATATGAGCAACAAGAAAG